AAACCCTAAATCCGCCTCCTGGTTCAGCTTGCCCAAACGATGTCTTTCATCCTTGAGCCTCGGCGCTGGGTTTGGGTTTTTTGGGTTTAGGGTTTCGGGTCTAGGGTTTGGGGTTGTAGGGTTTGGGTTCGGGGGTTCGGGGGTTCGGGGGTTCGGGGGTTCGGGGGTTCGGGGGTTCGGGGGTTCGGGGGTTCGGGGGTTCGGTGGTTCGGGGGTTTAGGGGTTTAGGGGTTTAGGGGTTTAGGGGTTTAGGGGTTTAGGGGTTTAGGGTAGAGATTTTAGGGTTTTAGGTTTAGGGTTTTGGGGTTCTGGGGTTTTAGGGTTGAGGGCTGTGCGATCCAGAAACACGCTAAACAAATTTTCTGAGTATGGTCTTCTTCAACCCGATAAGCGAAAACATAAAATGTCCCCAGGGTCTCCCTTGTATATATACTACTGAAGTGTAACCCTACCTATTAAGTACAAAACGAAAAACATCCAGTACAGGTGTGCTGCTTTGCAGGCCTCACTGATTTTTTGTGGGGGGCGGGGTTCGTTGCAGACTCCCGTGACGCGGATACCCTCATCTTAGGGGGCGGGGGGGGGGTTTAGGTTCCGGACTCAGGGCGGGAAGTGAAATGTGGCCCATCTTACTCCCGTGGCCGAAACGCCGCCATCAGACCCGCAAAGCCCTTGAGAACTCTCGCCCTTGAAGCCCCTGACACGCACGTCAGCCCTAAGCCCTACACCCCGGGAAGAAAAAACGGGTACTTCGAAATGTACCTCAAACCCAAAACCCTAAACCCTAAACCCTCCTCAGCTATGGGGTATTCTTACCAACTTTTTAGGTGCAAGTTTACTGTAAAGGCCCATGCCCTGGAAGCCATCAACCGAATTCCAGAACCTAAAAAACCAGGTTGGGATTTGGGTTTAGGGTTTAGGGTTTAGGGTTTAGGGTTTAGGGTTTAGGGTTTAGGGTTTGCAGGTTCTCCTTATACACCCCATTCTCGAATTATTGAATACAAGAAAGGAGGTTCTGGAATCTGAATCGTCAGCCCTCAACCCTATACCCTAAACGCCCCCCCTCAACTGGGGAAGCGGCTGCTGTTCAATTCGGCGGATGGCGCTCGCGGGCTTCACCCCATTTCCTGGTGCGTGTACGAGGTTGGCCCTTAAAACCCTCTGAAAGAAGATTCCTTACTGGGGATTCTAATAGTGGGTACGATAATCCCTATTGAGGACTGTTAGAATAAGGGGGAACATCCCTAAAGCTCCCCGAAAAAAGGGACTCTTTTAACCCAGGATGTCCCCTCAAAACCCTCTGAAACAGATGCCTGAATGTGATCCTCCGAAACCCAAAGGGGAAAACATTAATAGGTTCTTTTAGGGTTTAGGTTTAGGGTTTAGGGTTTAGGGTTTAGGGTTTAGGGTTAAGGGTTTAGGGTTTAGGGTTTAGGGTTTAGGGTTTAGGGTTTCAGGTTTAGGAATATGATCCTCTGAACCCAAATAAGGGAAATATGAAATGTCCCAAGGGCCTACCAAGTAACGCAAGAAGAGTACATATGAGATAGCCCAAACGTCCTACACAGTCTGGGATTTGGGTTCTTAGAGGCTATATCTGCGGTAGGCCCCTCCTTGTTTTGGAGGACTCCTGACATGTTGATCCCTGCTGGGAGTTCTCTGTCTCCATCACAATGGATCCTCAACCCTAAACCCCCTAAACCCCAAAAAAGGTGACCAGAACTTGGAGACCCTTTGGCAAAGGACTCTTGAACCTTCAGCAGTACGGGGCTCTGGAACCCCGTAGAAATTGCAGGAGAAACTCCCGATCGCCAAGCCTGAGCCCAAAGCCGAAAGAACACCCCTAACCCTCAACACTAAGCCTCGAAACTCTAACCCGCAACATCACTAAACCCTGAACTCCCTGAACTCCCTGAACTCCCTGAACTCCCTGAACTCCCTGAACTCCCTGAACTCCCTGAACTCCCTGAACTCCCTGAACTCCCTAACCCCGGAATGCCTCAGACCGACGACTCCGAGCCCCGACTCAGCCACGCAGCCTGGGATGATGTGCGTCAAGGACTCGTTGCAGCGGACCTTTTGCATCCCCAAAGCAAACTCCTGGGGTGTAGTGCTTAGGGTTTAAGAGTTCTGGGCGACGAGGCCCCAAAGGGCGGAAGTAGGAACTATTCACGGGCTCCAGCATATACAGGCTTAAGCCGGGGGGGGGGGGGGCGGGGGGACTTCATTCAGGGTACCCTTAAGTTCCTCAACCCTAAACCCTAAACCCTAAACCCTAAACCCTAAACCCTAAACCACCCTAAACCCTAAACCCTAAACCCTAAATCCTGTTGGGGAGGCTACCAGTGCGGGGCTTGCAGGTATGGTAAAAGACGGGATGGAGGTTGAAGCCGCAGGGCTTACTTGAAGGTTCATGGTACTTACTAACCAATTATAACTGGGCTTAGAACCCTACTTATAATTGGGATAACCCCTATTAGGCCCTTTAAGGGGTATTATAAGTGATAACCCCTATAAGGCCCTTTAAGGGGTATTATGAGTAGGGTTATAAGTACAGTTATAAGTGGTTAGTAAGTACCATGAGCCTTCAAGTAGGGCAAAGAGCCCCAGCAGCACGCCCCAAAGGCCCTGTAGGATTTAGGGTTGAGGGTGTATTGCTCCCGAACCCCCAAACCCTAAACCCTTTTGGGGTTTAGGGTTTAAGATTGGGGTTGAGGGTTGAGGGTTGAGGGTTGAGGGTTGAGGGTTGAGGGTTTAGGGTTTAGGGTTTAGGGTTTAGGGCACGCCGACATGAGGCTTTGGGGCTTATAAGGCTTCGGGAGCTTGAGAAGTGTCTAAATTTAGAGCCTGAACCCTAAACTAAACCCCAAACAATAACCCTAAACCTGAACCCTAAACCCCAAACTTTAGGGCTTGAGGGTGACCTAGACGCGGACTATCAGTGTTTCCAAAGACGCTGTAAACCTGACTCTCACCTAAACTTTCCAGCCCTGAAAATCTCCGTAAGCCAAGCAACAATTGGGGGGGGGGGGGGGGGTGGCTCCGGAAATAGGAGGTGCCGTATTGGGGTTCTCATGATAAGGGGATCCCCCCCTATTACTTTGAGGTTTCTAATAGGGGTCACACATTATCGGAAACCCACCTTTTTCAAGGAGTGCTGTCCCCCAACCTCATTCGAATGCGGCGCATTATGGACAACCCTAAACCCTAAACCCTAAACCCTAAAAACCCTATAAACCCTTATAAACTCTGCACCCTAAACCCTAAACCCTAAACCCTGAACCCTAAACCCCAAACCCCAAACGGCACCCCCAAGGTCCATGAAGCCGGCGCTTACTGCTTGCCGGCCAGGGCACGAGGTACGTCTTTTGCAGTCTCTTGATGGTCCTTAGGACTCTCAATTTGAAACCTGTGGGGTTTAGGGGCTTAGAACAGTGCGGTACCGAGTCCAGGGTTTAGGGTTTAGGGTTTCTAGTTTCTAAGTGTATAGGATAGCCAGCCAGGCGACGACCCTCGAAACTGCGAGTTTGGGGTGCTGGGTTTAACGGGAAATTGGCTGATGATCCGGGCAGCGGCCAAGTAGAGAGAGCCACTCGACATCCTCAAAACTTCTACCCCCTCCTCAACCGGGAACCACGCCATTACCCGTACATAAAAAACATCGTCATTTGACGCAATTAGTAAGGTATTTCATCTAACCCCCCCCTCCCCCCCAACGTTCCCAAAGAGAGGAAGTCACCCTGCTTAAGCCTCCTCTCAACCAAAAGAGCTTCCTTGAAACACGGAGGCCTGAGGCGTGGACTTATACTGCTGCACTTTCTCCTCCTTCTCCATGCTGGTACCTCCAGATGCATATCTAGTCTGATACTACAATGTGGATCCAGACATGGATTAGGCAAAAAGTACATGCCTTTGCTAAGAATTATGGGGTCTTGGGCTCGCAGGGCAAAAGCTTCGCCTGGGAGAAACGCCTATAAGCCCTAAGCTCTGAACCCTAAGCCCTACGGTTTAGGGTTTAGGGTTTAGGGTTTAGGGTTTAGGGTTTAGGGTTTAGGGTTTGGGGTAGGGCCCTCTGCACAATCCATCAGGCCTTCCGTGGTGCCAGGGCGAAGCAGGAGGGAAAGTGACCTACTCCTGATCAGCGCCCAGCAGCGCAGAGCCCACAGGAGTCCGCGGTTAATTCGAGGCGCTTTGGGGGGTGAAGAGGGGGTTTCGGGCTTAGGGCGTAAGGTGTAGGGTGTGGGGGGGAAGGGGGTAGAAGGGAAGGGGGAAGATGCAGGGTAGACAGGTGGACAGCAGACATCTCAGGTTGGTCACATGGACTCCCAAAGATGTGCTGGCCTTTGGCTCCGCATTCTCGGCTTCACGTGTCCTGCGGGTTTCAGCCAACACTGAAAGCACGCCAGGCCTGCACGGCCGGCTTAGGCCTAGCAGAAGCAGCAAAGACTTGCTTGGCAAGCCCCCAGCTGTTCTACACAGCAGCCTTGACATGAGCAGACCACATAATATAGGGGCCTTAATGATTAGAATAGGGTTTTGGGGGGGCTACTATGGTATGAATATAAAGGGGACCATGAAGGGGAATACTACTAGTAATTATTCCGGCCCCTGTATTGCGGGCAGCTGAGCTGGCCTCCATGTTCGAAGGCCAATCCAACGCTGGCAAAACTGCTGTTGACAGCCAGACATATTCGGCTGGCAGCCCGAACAGGTGAGTCATCTAGTGGCCTCCAGCAAGGACATCAAACAACATGACAACCCTAAACCCTAAACCCTAAACCTCCCAACCAGAACTTTTCGTCCTGGCACCCTCTCTCGCTCTGTGCACTTCATCTGGGCAAGTGCAGTTGCCTGTGCACATTCCCTTGCCTGGAGCATCCCTAAGGGACCCATGTAGTAATCATGTTGAGGCTAACATCAAGAAACCCCAAAAAACCCTGCAAAACCCTTCATACCCCATATAAAAGGATGCCCGGACCCCCCCCCCCCGCAAGAAGGGATCACTCACTCTCTAAGGGCCGGCGGCTCAGGGTTCTTTGAAGCCGGAGCTTCGTGCCCTGGGCGGCGGCACTCCCGAACCGCGCGATGTCTTGGGCCCAGCCCAGGACCTGGTAGAAACCGCCCAGGAGGGCCTCAGCTCAGCTGGAGGGGCCGCAGAGGTCCGGGCCCTGGGTCATGGGAGTCTTCTTCCTTTTTGTCGATATTGAAAGGTTGCTTTTTTAAAGCATGTTCACACTAATATGTGGTCCTGATGCGCGTTGCTTGCGGCCGGGCGGCGAGGAAGAGCACCATGGCGAAGGACATGGTCAAGCTGAGGGCTGCGAACCAGTTCCACTCGAACAGGAAGAGGTCGAGGGCGCCCATGATAAGCTCTGGCACGTCCTCAACGATCCGGAGCCCGGATTCCAACGGCTTGCGAAAGCCGCGGAGCTTCTCGATGTTCGTTTCCTCGAGGTGCCACGCCACGAGCACATTGAAGAAGGGAATTTCCAAGCTGGCGGACTGTGCTGTCAATTGTTCCTTCTCGTCTCCGTTGGAGACCTTCTTCAGGGTCGCTGCTGTGGCAGCCATGAGCATCCACATGATCATCAGGAACACCTTGACTCAATCGACCAGAAAACGGCTTATGATGGTTTACGGCCCAAGAAACCCTAAATCGAGACTATACTATAGCAACCTAGGTTGTATTATCCCACTTCTAGGTTTGACTTGCTTCCCATGGCACTGGTGTGAGCAGCGACATCGTGACAGTGCTGGGACCCGTTCCTTGAAACCCTACCACCAGGATCGCCACAAGCAGAATGGCGATGGCAACAAAGCCTGAGCAGCCCAGTAGCCACATTAGAATAAGGGTACCTTTTTCGGGGGGTTGGTTACTTCAAAGGGAATCTTGAACCCAAAAAGGGACAAAGGGCACCACTGGGCTATCAAGAAGCTCAACCACACTCCCACTCTCAACAGCCGCATCTGTGAGATGGCGTTCGAGACCTGTTGGACCTGCCGGGCATAGAAGCCTGTTGTCCACGCCACGGTCATTGCCAGCGACACAGCAGACGCGGACCACAGCCCCTGGGCCAGCATGTCGCAGCCAACAGCTGTGCAACTCGGCTGTGGCTTCTTCCAATACACATCGAAGCCGATGAGCTCGCCCTTCTCGTAGCCATAGGCCTCGCTTGCGTAGACTGCACAGTTGTCCAGCTCGCCTGCCGAGGCAGGCAAAGCCCTCTGCGGATCCCACCGGAAAGTGGGGCTACTCAAACAAGACGAAACAAGACCAAAAACTATGACCTACTGTGACCTAGAGCATGTGCGATAGCGATCACAAAACCTCATGCCACCTCCCGCAAGGCCCTAAACCCTAAACCCTAAACCCTAAACCCTAAACCCTAAACCCTAAACCCTAAACCCTAAACCCTAAACCCTAGGCCTGTTGGGCGGCAGTCACCTTCCACCTGGCGGTCGGCTTCGCAAAGAGCATCCATGGCAACGGAGCCGTCGCAGAAGGGAAGGGCGTTCAGCGCGGGGAAGTCCGCTGGGCAGTCCCTGTCCAGAACCGGGACCTGCGGAAAGAAAAGGTGCTCAGGAGATGGCAGGACAAGTGGTCACAACATCATCAGGTTCAGGGTTTAGGGTTTAGGGTTGATGGTTTAGGGTTCAGGGTTCAGGGTTTAGGAATGTTTAGGGTTTAGGGTTTAGGGTTCAGGGCTTAGGGTTTAGGGTACTATAGTCCCAGAAGCTCATCACCGTCGCCCGCTGGCAAGCCTCGACCGTGTAGAGGAGAGAGGACACCAAGTTCGTGGACTCCAGCAGCATCCTCAAGTAGGGTTTAGGGTTCAGGGTTCAGGGTTTCGGGTTTCGGGTTTAGGGTTTAGGGAAGTGGACTCCGACTGAAGACCAATAATAAGTTTCCTAGAGAACTTCGAGTAGCACAGGATCGTGTGATCCCAGTTTTAAGATTCGCTTTCCCTAAGGCTCCGACTAGCCCAAAGCAGTTACTTTTTACACACTTTAAACCCCAGTGTAGGGAGGATTTGTGTACTTTGAACCCTAGAGTTTGGCTCCTGTAACCCTAAATCCTAAACCCTAACCCTAAACCCTAAACCTTAAAAACCCTAAAACCCCTAAACCCCCTAAACCCTAAACCCTAAACCCCCCAAGGATCTGGAGGGCCAGCACCAGGGGCGACCGCATGAGCTGCCGGCGCCAGCGGGACTTCCACTCCTCCGGCTCCTCTCCGGCCTCTCCGGCTAAAACTTCGGTTAGGGCGGTTAGGATTAGGGCGGTTAGGGTTCAGGGTTTAGGGTTTAGGGTTTAGGGTTTAGGGCTTAGGGTTTAGGGTTTAGGGTTTAGGTTTCAGGTTTAGGGAGGGTTTAGGTTCATAGGCTATAGTTTATTCTGGGTTTAGGCTTGCGGCTTTCAAGGGCATATATAGGGCTTGCAGCCCGAATCTGTGCTTCGCTGTCATTGCTTGGGGTATTCCCAAACTTGAAAAAAGGGATCCCGTGAATGTATTTACGCCGTAAAAATGCTACGAGTAGAATGCTGAAAGGGTGCCCGAATTGTTCAGAAATTACTGAATTCTGAGCCCGAAACCCTATCCTCTACTCCCTAAACCCTACAGAAAGGGTTTAGGGTTAACGGTCCGCCTCGACAACGGTGACCTGGACATGCCTGTGTGGAGGATCGAGTGCACCTGAGCCCGGTGCCCCAAGGCCGCAGAGGCTTAGGGTTTTTGGGCTTCGTATTTAGGGCTTTAGGGCCGCGCTTTCAGAGGACAAAAGAAAGAGCGCGAGAGAAAGAGAGGGAGAGGGGGGGAAACAAAACAAAAAGAGAGAGAGAGAGAGGGAGAGAGAGGGAGAGAGAGAGAGAGAGATATATATATATATATATATACATGTATAACATCATGAAAAAGCAAATAACAAACGAGTTAGCAGATCGATATTATGAGAGCTCCAGGTTACTCCATTCATTGCTCCTAAGGCCCCGAGCAAGATTACATGCTCCTAGCTGAGAGTACTTGGGCTGGTTAGGATGTGGCTTACTATAAACCCAACCCTGAAACCTAGACATCAACCCTGAACCCCGCAAAAATGGCCTGGAACCTGTAATCCCGCCTTCAGAAGGATTGCCCACCGTTTTGGGCTCGCTCAAGGGTGTGTCGTCTTCGCCTCCGATTCCTGGAGGGCTGAAAGGCATCACATATAAGGCTACGGGCTGCTGTGCAGGTTGAGTATAACCCGCGTAGGGAGGGATCACATGCACAAAGCGTCTCCGGTTTGATGGGGCACTTGCCAAGTCTACCGGCACTTGCTTGTGGGTGCCTTCCTTTTACAACTCCCACAGAGGCCACTAAGCTCGAACAGACCCGTCCCAAATCCTGAATCCTCAACCCTGCAACCCTAAACCCTAAACCTTGGCTTCGAGGGGCTTCAGGGCATTTAGGGCTTTAGGGAGAGAGGCAGACAAAGACAGGCAGAGAGAGAGAGAGCGAGAGAGAGAGAGAGAGAGAGAGCAAAAAGAGAGAAGAGCGAAAATACGAGAGCTCCAGGTTACTCCTGACATCGCTTCTCAGGTGACCCGTACAAGATTACATGATCCTAGCTACGAGTGCTTTGGCTGCTCAGGACTTTCCGAACTATTAACCAAATCCTGAATCTCTTCCAGCTGGCCCTCAACCCTAAACCCTGTAGCAAACACATGATCGCGTGCCTGCAACAGGATTGCCCACCGTTGAGGGCTTGCTCAAAGGTGTTTCGTCGGCGCCTCCAATTCGCAGACGGCTTGGGCAGCACACATAAGGCTTGAGGTTTGCTTGGGCTGAGGCAGGGCCTAGAGGTCTTCGCGTGTTGGGCACTACATCTCGCGGGATCGCGATTCAAGGCGGCGGTCCTCCATCACATGCACAGGCGTATCTGGCCCCGACGGGGCGCTTGGCAAGGCTACCTTTATCTTAAAGTTTAGGGTTTAGGGTCCTAAGTTCAAATCCTGAATCCTCAGCCCTGCAACCCTGAACCCTGAACTCTAAACCCTAAACCCTAAACCCAGGGTTCACTAAACATCCCTAAACCTTGGTTTCGGGGGCTGGCAGAAGGCGACCTCCAGTAATGCGCAGAAGCATGGAGAGGATGGCCAGGATGCCCAGCAGCACCAGGTAGCCAGCCAGCGCCATCAGGGACCTTGCTCGGAAGGTGAGGCTCCATTGTGAACCATAAAACCCTAAACTTCGGAGGGGGGGCAGGGAAAGAGCATGGAAGTTTCTTGCTGCAAGGCAAGCTGTATAGCTCTATAAACCCAAACCCTAAACCCACCGAGCTTTTCGGACGAGGAGCCAGCTGCCCGCCATGCCAAAGGCGAAGCGCCTGTGCGCAGTTCAAGACACTGTAGGAAACAAAGATGCGATCGCCCGAGGCTTGATTTGCAAGGGGGATTCCTTCCAGCCCTTCTGGGCGTAAGTCTGCTATTCGGGGCGTGGTAAGTTCATATAGGCGAACCTCCAATCAGCAAATTGTAACTGAATAAAAAGTCCAAGCAATCCCGCCTTTGCCTGCTCAGTGCGGGCAAAGGCCCCTCCGTTCTGGTCGTTGTGGTGGCAGTCTGGCAGGCAAGTCAAACATAAATTTCCGTGTAGTCCATATACGCGCGACTTGTAAGAGGAATGAGAGTAGCATAAGGTATGATCCCAAGTTTAGGGTTCTTTTAACCCCAAGGATGACCACACAGGCGGATGCTGGCAAGGTTGCGGCCCTGCCGCACTGGGTTCGAGTACGGCTTATAATCGGCCAAGTCTTCACCCCTGACGCTCCCAGCGCTCCCAGCGCAGCCTTGGTTGTCGTCCGTGTGGCGGTCGTGGAGGAGGAGGAGGAGGTAGGAAGCCGGAACTCGAAGACCTGGTACCCGCCAGCTGCTGCGACAGCGAGATAGGCCGTACCGGATATACCAAAGAACTGCGAGGAATACGCACTGGTCGTGCCAACGTCAAGGATGTGCTCGAAGCTGGAGCCGTTCCAAGCATAGAGATGGGGAGGCTGCTCATTTAAGTTTGCGAGGACGAGGTATTGCACGTTCGAGACTTCAAATGCCATGCAGCCGTGCGCTCTATCGGCGACGATGGTTTGGAGGTCTTGAAACATACTATGAGAGCTTTCCCACTTATAGATCTTGTTAATTGAGTCCATTGCTGCAGCGAGGTACGACTCTCCGTTGAAACTAAAGAATTCCACAGAAATAGTCCTCTCACCCGCCAGGTGTTGCCACAATCCGAGGGCCGCACCTTTCGCACCTGTCCATCTGTAGGCAACGACTCCACTAAGCGAGTTTGAGTTTGCAGCCACTGCCAAATACTTTGCGCCACCGACTTCGAAGAACTTTAAAGATTCTGCCCCATCAGTGGCAAAAGATTGAAACTCTTCGAAAGCGGATCCGTTCCAAACGTAAATCCTGGACTCGGCCACGTAAGAGGAGCTCGCACCGTACGGCACAGACAAGTTTCGGTGATTGGCCACGGCCAGGTAGGTCTCGTTGTCAATCGTGAAGTGCTCCAAGCCCGAGGCAAACGAAGTCGGAATGCTTTGGAACTCCACGAACTCGGAGTCCCTCCACACGTAGATCCGTGACTCCGCGGCCACATGTTCTGCGAGGGCGAGAAGTGCTCGGAGCCAATCTGGAAGCACTCGGCGCCGTAGGACCCTGAAGTGCCCCCGAAAATCTGGTGCTCTCGGAACGCATCGCCGTCCCACCGGTAGACTTTAGCAGAAGAGGCTGCGACTGAGGGGTACATCGAAAGAACCAGGTACTGGATACCTGCGATCTGACAAGGTTCCCATTGTCGTCCGTTGCTTGTGCCGGCATCATGTACCGGAAGCAGTTCTGGAATGACTCCTTGGGATGCTGTGCGGCCGAAGGAGGCACACACACACACAAACACACGCCCCACGGCCCAAGCCGCCCACCTCAGCCAGGGAACAGAATTCACTGCAGCACGAAACAAACTCCGAGACCCTTAAAGCCCAAGAAGCCTTAAGCCCTGAACAAAAGATGTATCTTAACCCGCTAATCTTACAAATCCTAAACACGAAATCAGATTAAAGGAGTGGATGCCCGCGCATGACCGTGTGAGAAAGAGCAACCGCATGAACAACAATGCAGCGCGTGAGAGAGTTCAGAACAAATGCTTCGCGATGTGACGGGAGTGCGCGGTTTGCACGGCGATGCCAACGAATTAAAGCGTCAGGTAAACGTCAAAAAAACCTATAGAGGTGTAGACATGGCTCCTCGAAAGCGCGCACATCCTGCTGCCGCTGCTGTTACAGATTCGACAACACAGCAACTTCGTCATGGCTTCAACTATGTGGTCTCTTCTCGATTGGAGCTACCTAAGCCGACATTGCGAAAAGAACAACGCAACAGCTGAAGCGATATAAAAGCTCTCAAATTGCACGCAAACCTCCAACGTGCGGCATTCAACTACATGAAGACAGCACCTCGAATGTACGATTTAAACGCCAACATGAACGAAATCAATCAACCGTCGAGGTAATGCAACACCATGACCTGATCGCACACGCAAGGTGCACGACCCGTTCTGATGACGCGACGCACGGCCACCACAACGGATCCTCACGACACCGGGCTTCTTGCTTCAGATGTTTGCGGTGATATCACTGATCTTTTCCACCATCGTATATACATTTAAAGATACATGGCGAAGGGCGTCCCATTGTGAGCTTTAGCAAGCCACAGTATGTGCCAGGATTCTTGCTGCTGAATTGCAACTGCTTGCGAAGTACCACGGCATTGGCGCGGTTTTGGCATGCGCAGAACTCCAGTCCCATGGTGTTTGCGAGATTTTTGCAGGCGCAGAAACCCAATCCCACGGTCCCCGGTACTTCCGAGGTTTCTGCATGCGCGATCATGCAGAAAACTGGTGCGACAGCTTGCCTAAAACCGGCGCCGAAAGCAGCGCGCGACGCGCACAGTGATGTGGGGAACAAAGCTAAAAACCTTCTATGCCTAAAACCTGAAGGGAAAAAAACCCAAAACCCTACCTGTAGAAACCTAAACCCTAAACCCTGAGTCCACCTTTGAGCCCAGGTAGGCGCCATCTCACACAACCATGGCGCAGGCTACAGTTCGCAGGCGCCTTTGCCAAGGTGTCAGGTTCTGGCTTAGGGCTTAGGGTTTAGGGTTTAGGGTTTAGGGTTTAGGGTTTAGGGTTTAGGGTTTGGGGTTTGGGGTTTGGGGTTTAGGGTTGGGTTTAGGGTCTAGGGTTCTAGGTTTGAGGTTTGGGGTTCAAGGGTTGAAGGCAAGGGTTCTGGGCATTACACGGCGCGCATCGAGAAGCTCTCTCGTAGATATGGGGAGTTGCTGAACCCTTAACCCTAAACCCTAAACCCTAAACCCTAAACCCTAAACCCTAAACCCTAAACCCTAAACCGTGGGGAGTTCCAGCTCTACTCTGCAACCTGCAGCTCTATAGAGCCTGGCACAGCAGGGTTTGGAGTGTAGGGTCTGCCTATAGAATTTCAGGGTTGAGGGTTTAAGGTTTATGAGGGGTTGAGGATTGAGGGTTTAGGGTTTAGGGTTTAGGGTGGGTTATGAGTGGGCTGTGTACCCTGACAAGAATGCAGTGGGTGTGCTTACACCATCGTGGACCTTGGCGGGTGATCTCGTTCGATGTATTCATTGCAGTACTGGAGTTCACAAACTTAAGAAATCTAGCCCCTGCATGGGGTTTCTTGCTTCGCTCTTGGACGCCCTCCCCAAACATTGCATGCGGCAGGCGCTGCAAAAGAGTTTGGGGTTTAGGGTTTAGGGAGTTTGAGGAATCTACAAAGACATCCGGGTACCCTCAGGGGGTGCCTGTTCTGGAGGATGAGGGCCTCAACTTCAGGAAGCGAGGACACCCCTAACATGGCACCATCGCCCATCTAGCGCAGACCTCTAACTCCAGTTAGAACGAAGTAGGGCAACTCGAGCGTGGTAAGTGGAAATAACCTTGTTTGGGTTCTACTTTCACATGCAGTTACCCTACTTTGCAGTAGACCCTGGACAAAAAAGTATATACTTTTTAGGTACAAGTACCTTTCATAGGAATTCAGAACTAAAAAAACACTAAAGTATAGTACTCCAAAACCCAGGTTATAGATGTATGCACGAACCTCCCAAGCGCGCCCCAAACTTCGAACCCCCCCCCCTTCCACAAAAACGACAAAACACGATCTTTTTTCGAAGCCAAGGCCGCGGTTGCGGCTTAAGGTGTTTAGGTTTAGGGCTTAGGGCTTAGGGTTTAGGGTTTAGGTTGAGGGTCAGACTAAAACTTATACCACTTGTGGGTCAACTAATATCTGCCCCTCCAAGTAGACCATCACTTCCTCGTCCATGGGATCCAAACCCACACTCCAGCCTCTGAGACAGGTGAACTCGACCCCCAAACTCTGAACTCTAAACCCAAACCCCCTAAACCCTATAACAACACTCTGCAAACGCCACAAGTCTCACTCCGGCTCACTTCGCAGGTGCTTGGGCGGCTTCCTCCGGGTGTAGGGTTTAGGGTTTAGGGGTTCAGGGGTTTAGGAGTTTAGGGTTCGAGGCTCGAGGCTTTCGAGCCCCAATAGGGCTTAAGGGCAAAGGGCTGAGGGATATTTTTCGGCACGAGACCCAAGAGGAACCTGGAAATACCAAGGGTGCCCCTTTGTTTTCAAGGGGACTTAGAAGAAACCTAAACCCTAAACCCTAAACCCTGAACCCTGAACCCTAAACCCTAAACCCTAAACCCTAAACCCTAAACCCTAAACCCTGGGTCCTCGATAAGTTGAGGGCTAGGGGCCCTGGAGCTGAACGACAGCCGCTCTTGGACATCTGCTTCTCCACTATTTTGCTTAAGGACCTTAGGGTTTAGGGTTTAGGGTTTAGGGTTTAGGGTTTAGGGTTTAGGGTTTAGGGAGACGCCTTCATTCTACACAGCAACACTATAACATCAACAACAAGGGCGGCAACTCACAATGATAAAGTGGCCGCCATTCATTTGGTCATTTTTCAGAGTTCGAGAGGGAATTGGACCGGTGGCTGGTTGTTGGATGCAAGTCTGCCACCTGAATACTTCAGGCTTATTGGCAGAATCTGGACGAATGCATACGCAGTAGTACGAACAGCAGCAAAGATGCTCGTGGCGACAACACTTGCAGCCGCGATGGCAACAAGAGAGATCGTGGTTGGCATGTCGGTTTGTCTGGTTTTGTCTTCACCAAGCAGTGCTTGCACATTGGGTTCTTACGTCCTGAGGAGTCAAGAGAACTTGACCCGCGGTGCCCCGACAGGGCTTCCAAATCTATGATCCCCTCGGTATTTTCTTGTGGGCTTCCAAATCTATGATCCCCTCGGGTTTTTCTTGTGGGTCCGGATGGGTTTAGGGTTTACGATTTAGGGTTTAGGGTTTAGGGTTTATGGTTTAGGGTTTAGCTCTCGCCCAAGTCGTAAACCCTAAACCCTTGCGGCGGATGCCCACTCCTGCTCGCTCCCTTGTCTTCCGTGCACTTTTTGAGGCTTGCTTGCTGTTCCGTGTCGCGGAAATACCGTGGCCGGGATGCGCTTTCGGAAGCATTTTGGGGCTCTTGGATGGGCTCGCTTCATGCGCCTGTTCTTAGGGTTTAGGGGTTTAGGGTTTAAGGGTTTAGGTTTGGTTTCGGGTTTCGGGTTTCGGGTTTAAGGTTTAGGGTTTAGTGGTTTAGGGGCTTTGGGTTGAATGCTTTTTGGGGTCATTGGCGCGCTCTTGGAGTGTTCCGGGGTTGTCTTGCAATGCTTTTTGTGGTCGCCTACGCACGCATAAATACCAGTCATGCGAAGTAATGCTAGTTTTGGAAATAGGATTCCCTTACAAGAAGGACCCCAATAAGGTACCCCCTAATTTCGGAAACCCCATATAAAGCTTTGGGTTTGGGACAAATATCTTTTTGCGAAGAGTCATCTGCTTTTTCAAGGAGTGAACGAGAAGCCTTGCGGGCAGGTTCTCATATCATTGCAGACGACTACTGATGGCAGCTGTAATAATAACAAGCACAATAGATTACATGCGCATTTGTCAAGTCTAGCATCCTATACTGGTCTGGCGGTCTCGCACCATTTTTGTTGCTCGATCGGCGGCAGGCTCCAAGGCACATGATGTTCGTGCTTTCTTCCATCAGAATATCCGCTAGTCGGGGGGATGAACAACAAGGGTTTAGGGATTAGGGTTTAGGGCTTAGGGTTTAGGGTTTAGGGTTGAGGGTTTAGGGTCTAGGGTTTAGGGAACAGCCGAAGAACCAAGCCTACAGAAATTTGATGTTAAGAAACTCCTGGATCCCCGCGACCGAAAACTCTGCACACAGTCGACACCGTGGGCAGTCAAGTCGGCGCACTGGACAACTACGTTTGCAGTTGCCAGGTAGCTGTACGAACTTTCACTTTGGCTTCTGCCCCGAGGTTGATACCTTCTAAACTCTAAACACTAAACCCTAAACCCTAAACCCTAACGTCTCCCAAGCTGCCGAAGTCCCGTATGACACGGTTGCAGAGTAACCCTGGCAATATCCCCAGATCGGCAGAAGGTATTCCCCGCACGGAAAAGTAGTAGGATCTCGCGCGGGCTAGGAAAGTGCTGCGCTCTAGGGTTTAGGGTTTCGGGTTTAGGGTTATGTGAGTAGTGTAGGACCACCCCAACCCCAAAGAAATCCGGGATCTCCTCAACAATGAGGGCCAGAAAAACACTACAGCAAAGATAATAATATACACATCAGCAGACACAACAAAAAACCAAGAAAGAGGCGCACATATTCGTGTACTAATAATTCATACCTGAGACTCTACTTACCTACAGTTTAGTAGCAACTACCCTTAATTAGTAGGTATAACCCATATAGCTGTAGGTAGAGAAGGGTCCCAGGTAACTACCTGTAGATTAAAGGTGGTTGCGAATACAAGTTTTCTTTCTGGGGGTCCGGGTGCCCCACCCCGCCCAAAAGCCTTCAGGGCAGACTCATGCATCGCTGGGGGGGGCAGGTTTAGGGTTTAGGGTTTAGGGTTTAGGGTTTAGGGTTTAGGGTTTAGGGTTTAGGGTTTAGGGTTTAGGGTTTAGGGTTTAGGGTTATAAATCCAAGACCTTCTCAGGCATGAGGTGCCAGGGACCCTTGGGTGTAGGGATTGCAGGCAGGCATTATTGAGGGATCGAAAAGCCTCAAGCCCAAAAAAACCGTGAACTTCCAGGTATCATCTCGCACAAGGCCTTGGAGGCAGGTTGATCTGGTCACCCTAAACCCTAAAGCCTAAACCCTTTTGCTTGGGGTAGCCTGAATATTAAGTTAATTCGGGGCCCGCCTTATGACAGCAACCCTGCCACCAAGGGGGCCATCATCCTGAGAAGCGACCATCTGAATTCAAAGGCGCCAGGCGCCAACTCTGTCTCATCCTGCAAGTACTAGAACCCCCCACTTTGAATGTCTTGCTAATCCCTAAGCCCTAAACCCGAAAGTTCGGTGCGGGGGGGGGGGGGGGCCCGTGGCCACCCCCCCAGAACGGAACGCCGGAACGGAACGGAACTTGATCATCTTTGTCTTGCTGGTTGTTGGGTTGCACAGCTGGGATAATATAATAAGGGAAAACAATAGGAACCCTATACTTCCCTAAACCCTAAACCCTAAACCCTCAGAACCAGTAGGCACACAAGAGCTCAACCCTCAGGAGGTAGGCAAGATCTGCTTTGTACGAGGCTGGGCCCGGAAGCCTGCTTTCAAGCATGAGAACATCCACCAGCCTCCCGGGCCGCGGCTTCTTTGAAGTCTAGGGTTTAGGGGTTTAGGGTTTAGGGTTTAGGGTTAGTCTATGGCGACTGCGTTGAGGGTTGAGGTCGAGGGTTGCTGCCCTAGCTGCTTCTGCACATGGAACAAATGCCAGCTGTGATTCTCTATGCCTAGGCCCTAGCTGGTGTAGATTGGGTTTAGGGTTTAGGGTTTAGGGTTTAGGGTTTGATTCCGAACTCCCGCCTGTGGTATCCCGTTGGGCCGGCACTTCCTCGCGCTCGGGAACTTCTTCGTAAAGCCAAAGGTCGGTTTGGACACGCTGTCCTATACTCCCCTTAGAACCCTAGTAAAAATATCATTCTTAATATCCTCTTGGGTTTTATATGAACAAAAAGAAAAAACCATTTTTACAAAAACAAAAAATGGGATTTTACATTAAAAAAATAAGAGAAACAAAGAATTCCCCAGGGGGATAGAGTGTCGCTTCAATTCGTCGGTGTAGAGCCTGGCATAATGATATGTGCGGCTCCGAAGATCCGGGGAGGTGGCCATGCAGTTGCAAAACCCCTCCACGTCCATAGCCACCTATACTGCCCGTTTAGAACCTGTAGGGTTTAGGGTTTAGGGTTTAGGGTTTAGGGTTTAGGGTTTAGGGTTTAGGGTTTAGGGTTTAGTTTTTAGGGTTTAGGGCCTTCCACATCCATAGCCACCTATGCTCCCCCTTAGAACCTTAATAAAACACAATATTGTTTAATATCCTCTTGGGTTTTTATATAAACAAAAAACACTTCCCAAAGGGGATATAGCTACCAGTTTGGAGAAGCCAGTAGAGACAAGGTCACCAGCGTGAAGCCACTTCGTCCAAAGCGCCATCTCTGCGATCCATCCTCTGCCGTCCACATGCCGCTCGCCGGATGGAACGTGTTGGTACCGCAGGGACCCTTTCAGAAGGAAGAACGTCGTCTCCGCATCTTGGCTCGCAGAAAAGACTACATCTGCAGCACCGGTATCCACGATGTGCACTGACTCACTGGCCAATTTGTGGAAGGCAGTGCTGTGAGCAGCAGTGCTTTGGGACACCTGGGCCAGGAAGGACACCTTGAGAAGACTGTCTTGGTAGAGGCTGAGGTTCAGCTCACCTTGAAGAGGCCTCGACAGCAAGTGCAGGATGTCCGGGCGCTCCGCGAGCTGAGCAGTGTGACTATGATAGGCATATTGCAAGAAGTCTGTGATGCGCTCAGCAAGGCTTCCCGCAATATCTTTCTCTCGCAGGTATTTCTGCAGCAGCCAAAACTGGTCTGTCTCCTCGACCTTAGCCTTGTTGAGGCTGGTGATCAGGGAGGTCATTGAACTAATCACGGTGGAGAACGACATCAATGAGACAAACGCCACGATTCCGGAGTAGACAGACTCAACATACGAGACTGCCTCTATCTGGGTTCCACCGAGACCTAGTTGCGCCAGACTCCAGCGCATTGCTGTAGCATACTGGAATGAAACATGCCGATCTCGAATGTTGTGTACATCGAGCCAAGACGTGTCGGTTGTCAAGGAGCCGATTCCATGCCAACAGCAAGCCACCACATGCTCGAGAAGGATGATGCCGAGAACCACGAGGCAGAGATTCAGCTGGATGCAGGCAACACGCGAGTGCAGCTGATCACGAAGAACCTACACTGCACTCGGAACCCCAGCAAAAATCACATTTTTTGCTGTTTCTTAGGAATTATAGTGCCCAAAGATTAAAACAAAATCCAAGTACCCCTAAGGAACAATGGAGACATGGGTGAGCTTGCCCAAGCGGATGATGCGCAGAAGCCGCACGAGCCGAAGGAACTTCGCGGCCCTTACCTCCCCGAAGCCTTCGAAGAAAACCAGCTCCAAGAGTAGGTCCGCGATGAGGATGGATAAGTCCACGCCAAACCAGTTGCGTAAGTAGTGATGGCGGATGGTCGGTAAGTCCATAACTAGAACACCGCGAAGGACGACACCTATACTCCCCTTAGAGCCTTAATAACAACATTGTATTTAATATCTCTGCGGGTTTATACAAACAAAAAATAATTGTTCTCAAGGGAAATATAGACACCGGTAAAGAAAGAAAACACCAGGTCGGCAGCCCAGAAGAGGATCCCAAGTCGTGAGGTCCAATCGAGCGTTGGTTACTTTACAAGGGAACCTTGAACCAAAAAAAACAGGGCAAAAGGGTACCACTGGGCTGCCAAGCATCTGTAGCGGGATCGTGATCATGTCCCAGACCAGGCAAAGTACCCCAGTCAGGTCCCAAGCATTTCGAAATCTACTGGATGGACTCAGCCCACGAGTACATGGCTTGGGCTCGTTGTCCTCAAAAACTTGCCCGTTCGATGATCGCAAGCTACCGGTGCTCTTCTTTCGTACGGTTGTCGGTCTCTCCGCAAAGCAAGCTCGTGGCTCCAGCTGCTCCTGACTCATCTGCAACTCCTGACTCATCTGCAACTCCTGACTCATCTGCAGCTCCCGACTCATTTGTAGCTCCTCGCGCTCAGCTACTGAACTCTCCTGTAATGCTGGGATGCTTAAGATGTCAGAGCTGTTTGACCTTGAGACTTTGCGCATCCATGCGCTGCTGGATGCCCTCCGGAGGTCTGCAGCATAAATTTCTGCCAGCTGCGTCAGGACATCGTGAAATTTGCCATGGGAAGGATCCACAGACTTGGACATGAGTACCTGCTACGGCTGGAGGACGAGCTCACCTAGTAAATGATTTGACCGCCCCTCCCCTCCGTTCTCTTTGGCTATGGACCAGTGGACTGTGCTCTGCATGTGGTCACGCATGTCGTTCCGCTGCGTCTCAGTGCTCTTGTTGCTCGTGTGATGGGAGGAAATGTCTTCTTTGACATCACTGAGCTACCCCAAACCCTAAACCCTAAAATCAACCTCAGCCATCCATAAGTTGTGCGTGGGTATACTCCTACATAAAACCTGCGAAGCCTCTAAGATATACTCCTGGACAGGATCCTCGTAGAACAAGTAAGGGAAAATATGAAACATCCTGTAAGGGTCTAACCCAGTAACCAAGGCTTAAAAAGGGTGCCCTTTTTTGCTTAAAAGCGGTTCATAAGGGAACCCTAAACCCCCCAAAAAGGGAATAAGGGTACTACGGGGCGTCCTAGCAACAGTCTAACGGCCCTAAACCCTAAACCCTAAACCCTAAACCCTAAACCCTAAACCCTAAACCCTAAACCCTAAACCTTAAGCCCCAACTACAGAGGCAAAAAACTGTAGGTAGCCGCCCACTACGCTGGGTATTCCCTCTTCGGTCTCCACGGTTTAGGGTTTAGGGTTTAGGGTTTAGGGTTTAGGGTTTAGGGTTTAGGGTAACAAGGGGGCCCCTGGCCACCGACACTAGGCCTTATAAATCCTAAACCCGAAATAGCGCCCTAAACCCCTCCGTGGAGGTTTACGAAAACAGGGGACCCCTAAAACAGAACCCCCCCAAATACTAGGATTCCTTTCTAGTCAGGACCCCAGTAAGGTACCCCTAATTTCGGAAATCCCCGTATTATGAAGTAGGGTTGATGTATATTCTTGTATCCCCAAAGGGAAACCCAATATATACACTCACCAATATTAAGAAGGAACCTTATATACACTCACCGATAACAGTACTACATAGCCTGTTTCATATAACAACCTAAACCCTAAACCCTAAACCCTAAACCCTAAACCCTAAGCCCCCTCTCCAAGAATGAAACTCCCCCGGGCAGAGCCTGAGAGCTTGCACCACAGCCTTGCGCGCATGAAGGGCGCGCTTCAGGTTTATTTAGGGTTTAGGGTTTAGGGTTTAGGGTTTAGGGTTTAGGGTTTAGGGTTTAGGGTTTAGGGTTTAGGGTTTAGGGTTTAGGCTTTAGGGTTTAGGCTTTAGGGTCTAGGGTTTAGGGTTTAGGGTGTATGGTTTCGGGGTTGGTTGGGGGTTGGGGTTTCGGGGTTTCGTGGTTATAGAGTTTAGGGGTTCAGGGCTTTAGGGGAGTTCGGTGCTCTCGAAGGTTAAGGAGCCTGAGGATAGCTTCCGACTCAATGAGCACGAGAGGGTTTCCCACGGCAGATGAGGCTTCCTCAGGGCTTAGGGCTTTAAGGTTAACTGCAAAGGGCAACTTACCAACTGAGGTTGCGATATGCCTGGTCTTCTCCACTTGAGGGGCGCAAGCAGCTTCGCAAGGACTTGATGGGAGGGGAAGCCCTTAGATCTACTCCGACGTTCCGACGATGCCCCCTGTATTTACTCAGAGATTCCTTAAATTCTCCCCCCCCCCATAGCTGGACCCTAAGACTTTTCGAACGATTACCACAGGGCACTTGTTTGAAGGGTTTGGGAACGGTTAAGTAAACCCTAAACTCTAGACCCCAGGGGTTGGCGAGACGAAATAGGGTTTAGGGTTTAGGGTTTTGGGTTTTGGGAACTCTAGGGGTGTAGGCGGTTTAGGGTTTAGGGTTTACGGTTCCCGGGGCTCACAGAGTAGCGACGTAGTTTCGTAAAGCGGTTTCATCCAACGTCTCACGGACTGTTCACGCCCTCAAAAAGAGACAGCAATCCCTATACTAGCCTCTTCAGGAAGAATGTTTTCTGGGGCTCTTAAGCAAATAGGAGTAGGTATAAAAAAGGGTGCCCTTTTTGTTTTAAAGGGGATTATAAGGGACCCTAAACCCTACAAAAAGGGAATAAGGGCCGACTCCCGGTCCTAGAGCTACTAGCTACAGGATCCCTGGCGCCTCGCGCGTCTGCGCGTTGCTGACTGCCGTGAAGCCCTCCTCCAGAAGGATGGAGTGAGCCTTCTGGACCTTACAGATCCCATCAGGGTTGAGGGCTGAGGGTTGAGGGCTTAGGGTTTAGGATTTATAGGGTTTAGGATCTATATGCGGTTTACTAAACCCTAAACCCTAAACCCTAAACCCTAAACCCTAAACCCAAACCCTAAACCCTAAACCCTAAACCCTTTAGGATTTAAGGGGTTCATGGCGTAAGTTTCAGGAGGACGGAGCGATCTTTCTGGACCTGGCCTAGAGGGTTAGGTTAGGGGTTGAGTGGGTTTCGGGGGGGTTGGGGGTTTAGGTCTAGGAATGCTAGGTTTAGGTGATTGCTAGGTTTCCCTTGAGCAACACACCCCACGTCCCCCCGAGTCTCCCCCGCCCTCCACACATTGAATCTTCCCAACGCGACCCTACTGCAACCCTTGATTGAAGACTCACACCCCTCGAGGAAATACTATATTCCTTGAAAAGGAACCCCAAAAAGGGTACCCCGAGTTCGGAAACCCACATATACCCAATCAAGGCAGTACAGTCATAGATGATGATACCAGTCTTCGCGTTCACTTGATTGAGAAAGGACTTCGAATCACCCCGAAACCCCGTATGAAAAGGCGGAGGTTTTTGTTCTATTGATTACGAAAGGGCACCCCTGCTATGATCACTCTTGCCAATATCCCCAAAGAGCCCTAACCGCGCACTCACCAACACCTTCATATCAACACCCTAAAACCCTGTAAACCCATTCAACCCATTGAACCCCTTGAACCCTTGAACCCACTAACACACATTGAGCCCATTCAACCCATATTAACCCATTAATTACACGCCTTCAGCCCTAAGCCTTAAGCCCATTAAACCCTGAACCCTTAAAACCCCCAAAACCCTAAACCCGAGAAACCCCAAACCCATTAAACCCCTAAACGCGCCTCTTGCGGGTCGTCGCCGAAGAGGAGAAGTGGCTGGTGGCAATTCTCGGCCTTCGCAAGCTCCCTAACTCAAGGGTTTAGGGTTTAGGGTCTAATTAGGTGTGACCTTACACCTTTCAATGGGTGACATGTGCCTTAAATTTCTTTTGAGGTACGAGCCGTAATGATTCGAATAGGTTCTTGTGTTTTTTTTTGTTTTGTGGGGGGGGGGGGGTATTGTCGTAGACCTAAAAAGGGGTCATAAGGGTATTCCGACCCCTATATTACCAGAAGCAGATTGTGTTTGTTGGTTTGTTGGATGAACCCAAAAAGGGCGAATGACCCCCAGATCTGTCAGGGCTACACTAGACGAAACCCTATACATCAGGGTAGCTTCACAGTCCCTTAAGAAGGGCCCTTAAAGGGGGACCCCTTGTATAACTATAGAACCCAGGGCCCATGCTTCAGTACCCTTCGGGTTTAGGGTTTAGGGTTTAGGGTTTAGGGTTTAGGGTTTAGGGTTTTTAAGGGCCCATGAAACTACTCTTAGACTAGAAACCCTACAACCCTAAGCCACCAGTCCCTACACTGCATGAGTACAATAGGGAAACATGTCCGAAACACGACGCCCATGCAAGAGAGCCTTGATCGGAACAAAAGAAACGCCCAACCCTAAACCCTAAGCCCTAAGCCCTAAACCCTAAGCCCTAAGCCCTAAGCCCTAAGCCCTAAACCCTAAACCCTAAACCCTAAAGGCATCGTTGTTACTTGTCGGCTTTGGGATGTAGGAGCCTCAGCTGCAAGCCAGGGGCCCTGAATCTGTCGATCTTAAACCCTTTTGGGTTTAGGGAGTTTAGGGAGTTCAGGGTTCAGGGTTTAGGGTTTAGGGTTTAGGGTTTAGGGTTTAGGGTTTAGGATTGGGATGTTCCCCCTTATTCTAACAGTCCTTAATAGGGATTCTAGTACCCCCTACTACAACCCCAAAAAACGGGCTGCTAGGGGAACATCCCAAGTTGAGGGAGTGGAGGGTGTTTAGGGTTAGGGGAGAGCCCTAAACCCACAGGTCCGGGGCCCCTGCCTCCCAGCCAAAGGCGCGGAGCTTCTCGCGGAGCTGCGCGAGAGGCATGTCCACAGAGACCTGCGCTTGGGGTACAGGTCCCTGACTCAGGGTTTGGGGGTTTAGGGTTTGGGGTTTGGGGTTTAGGGTTCAGGGTTTAGGGTTTAAGGTAAAGGGTGAACCCCGTGTCATCGTCGGAATCTCGAAATATT